AAACAAACATTTTACAGAATCAAACAATCTTTTCACATCACCTTGCATACTTCTCTTACTTCTATATCAAACTTATCATCTACACTTCCATATAATCTTTATCATATCTGATTCTTTAAACTCAAATTTTTTTTCATTTCTTTATTCCATTATTCTTTTATTCATTCCAAATCAAAATCTCCTTATACATAAGTCATATCTTTTATTTCATGCTCACATACTTTTTTTCTATCACTTATACTCATCTCTGATTACCAATCTTTATCGCATATTTCTCAGCGATATCTTACTCAACTTTTCAAACTCATACACAGTACTACTCATTTTCTCTTTTATATATCATATATTTATCCTTAACTATCACTCCTTATCACATTTTCATGATTTTGATAGTCAACTTTACTTATACAGAACACCATTCTTTATCATCTCTTGTACTTACGTTTCCCTCAATCATACAAGTCCTTATCTCCTTTACTACCTTACAATTACATACTCAGAATACACCACCATATCCAAATCTACATCATACTTGGTTAACTTACCATGACATCATCTTCTAATTACAGTACATTTTCATCACATACTCTGGTTAGTCAACGCTAACTCTTTTCATCTTAACTGTAAATCCTTATCATATTCACACTCTTGCTTATACATAATACTATCCATTCGTTTCAAACTCATAAGCTCTGACTTTATACATCTTATATGCTTGTCACTGATACACTTATTATTGAACTCTTCTACCAATTCTCACTGCATCATTTGATCTTTTAACGCTCTTATGGTAACACTTGTTCACCATATTCTATCTTATCCACAAAATAACAAAACAAATCCATATCACCTTTCCGATTCAAAACAATGAAGACTTTCTATCATTATTCAGATATGATTTCAACTTTCTGAAATCAACCTTTACTCTTATAAGACACTTTCTGAGGTTTCCGCTCTTCATCCTGCCTGGCCAGGATAGGTGAATTGCTATCACCATCAGATTTGTCAGCTATTGATTCACTTTAACCATTTCTATAATCAATTTCTACTATATCATACAAATCGTATTCTATTAACAAGACAACATACTCCTTATACTATCATATCAGAAATTTTTCACTTTGAGTTGGCATGTACACATTTTTAAACTTTATTTGACTTTGCTTTAAGCCTAGAATCGGTTAAACCTTAGCTCTGATACCATTAAATGTAACACCCTCAACCCGTACTCAACTCGAATACGAGTCTGAGGTGTCACATTAACCGTTCAAAATGTTTACTTTGTCAAAATCTAATGAAATTCAATTAGACATTTCCAATAAAACCCAAATAATTTCTATCGTATAAAACGTATGGTTTTACAAATTGATCAGAGCGTATCCAATACAAATCTTTTATCTTACATGCCAACTACATTCATATGACAAAATACATATAATTTAAACTTATTTCTGATCTGAATTGTGGAAAGGAGAATCTGACCTGTCTTGCTCCTCTAAACTTCTCTTCTCACTTCTGTAATCTACGTGTGAAACAATCACACGCTAAGTCTATGACTTAGTGAGGCATTACATTTATAAAAGAACTCTAATTATTTAAACATGCAGGAATACATCATCTCATATATCATATAATACAATTCATATCACAAAAGCATATACTTTACATGTAATATATATATTTATTGTTCTCTTTGTTCTCCCATGTACATCTGTGAGAACTGTAGATATGTGAGTCTATTGAGGTTGTGCACTATACTGTCACCACAGCTCGTATGGGGTCCCACTAGGGGCTATGAGATTTGTCCTGAAAGACCACTATGAAATATCCCGAATGATCACTGTATGTCCCAAAGGACCGCGTAGACCCTCGACTCTTGGCATGCCAACTATACCTATAGCTCTCGTATCATATAACATAGGCATTATTATTTATTATTTCATATCTTCACATGTACTTATCATTGCTCATATGATTTCATATGTATATATCATGTAACTTATAACACTTCTCTTGTGTTCTTATAACATGTATATCAATGCTATTTATTGTTCACATATGTTTTCTATAAATCACATAATACTCTTATATCCTTTTTCATATCATCTTGTGTTCACATATACTATATACATTCATCATGTATCATATAAACCTGTATTCACACATATCATTGAACATATGCAATAACCAATAACACACATGTATCATGTCAAACATATGCTCATATTAATGTGTTCATGCATTATATTATAGGAAATAGACTTGTCGCAATTCTTATTTCCATTAAACATAACACACTATCTAATATGCACGCACCTGGGCCTCACTAAGTTCCAATCCACTTTTATGATTTCCTTTCTTTCGATCGAATCTTGACTTGATAATCGTTCCGAAACTTGTTCGTGCTCGATGTCTATATAATCATAGATTGATACATATCAGTATCTAATTGATATATTCTAATCTATCGTTTCTTAGACCAAAAGAAATGTCTATTTCAATTTCCCCTTGAAGTTCATCGATATATTCTACAGTGCATCGATGCATTATTTAACATGTGCATCGATGCACTACTCATGCATCGATACACCAATCACCTTCGATGTTTTCATTTTAAGGGGGTGCATTGATGCACTAACTGCATTCAATGTTTCCATTTTTAATGGGTGCATCGATGCACTTCCTGTGCATCGATACACACTGAACAATTTCTGGAAATAGCCTTGATGCATCGGTACACATTGAATGTGCATCGATGCACATAGCCCAAAATTTATTTTTATGCCCGAAAATCCACTCTTTTCGGCTTAATAACTTCATATATCATCCCCTTTCTTATTCTTAACTTACATACTCATATTCAAACTCATTTCTATTCATTAATCACCTCTTTAACATCAAAATCCTATTCTCCATATATAATTCAAGAATTACACTAAATTTTCAACAAGTTCCAAATTCAATTTTGTTGCTTATAACTTCTTAATTAGACCCTTGACAAGTCAAATTCATCTTTAGAACTTCAAAAACCTTTCCATAACAAAAGTTCATTTCTACACCCTTTATATAATTTCCTTTTTAATTCTCTATTCTTGATGTTTAAAGCTTAAAGCTTATATAAGCTTTCCTTAAGCTTATATAATAATCAAAGAATGAAAATCAACTTATAAATCCAAGAATTAAACAGTTGAAATTAAACTCACCTTTAACTGAGGCTTATGGGGAGAAGAAGAAGCTGGAGAAGAAGACTCTAGATAAATTTCCTCATTTCCCACGTTTTTATATTCCTTAAAAAGAGAGAATAAAAATCTTCTCTTAGAAAAGACCATAATACCCTTGTTACTTTCCAGCTTTACTATTAAATCCATGAACCTTTTAACTTATTTCGAAATCAAACACATAGTTTTCAAAATTTGCAATTTAGTCAGTGACCCTGAATTTTTGGATGTTACAACAAGCTGACAAGCAACCAAGCAAAATTGAACTGTACTACAAAACTATCCTGGCCTTCACTCGAGGTTCATTCAATGAGTACTATCGAACTTGATTTTAAACCTGTGTTACACTTGCTCCTTAAGAGTGAAGTTTCTCCATAGCCTGGTATGATATCAACACTAACTATTCTCTAGTTCTCACAATACAAAAACAATATTAGAGTGCAAAGCGGTTGGATGATTTATTTTCAGGAGCCCCACAAATTTCAAATGATAATTTAAGCAGAGGAGACCAAGAAACAACAAGTGATGATAGCATTGCACTACGCGAAGCATATTGATCTGCAGTTATCAAAGGTAAGCTACAAACTTCAGGTATTTTCTTGTCAGGTCTCCCTCCAGTTTGGATAGCAGGAACTGTCTGATGTGAACTTTTTCGCCCTTCAGATTTCATGGACCTACTCTGAAATAAAGTCACAAAGAGCACAGATAAGGTCTCACTGGCATTTGAAAGCATGCTAGTCTTCAAAATTCTGAGTGAAAAGCATGACATTGGTATTAACTTGAAAAAAAAATGCTAACTGGAGAAAAGAGATGGAGAGCAGAAGAAACTATTTTTGAACAAAAATAATACCTTGGGAGGACCCTCTCCCTCCCCAATGCTAATGAAAGCGTATATAAGATTTCTCATGTATTGTTTAGCATGAGATAGAAACCATTAGTACAAGAAAGGACTTACATTAGAAATTTCTGAGAGAGGAATATCTGGATCCTCAAAACTAATACTTGCAAGATAATCATAAAGCCTATCAGTTATACCCAAAACCTACAGAAAATTTGAACAAGAGCATGTCATTAACAATAATTGCATTTAAACAGAAAATTCTGGCCTAACATGTTCCCCCTTTACCATCAATACAGAATTAATCTCCACTACGTCAATTAATACAGAATTTGGCTACACAAAATATATTTCATTGTTCTTTCTAATTTTGTTACGGTATTCACTAATTTTCAAACAAACTACCCAAACATTTGACCTACTTCGCTTCAGTGGCTTCAAACATTTCATGGGAACTACAACTTGCTATAGAGACCAAAAAGTTCATCCCATCTCGAGTACATACCTCTATCCAACCAGCACAGAAATCAAAAAAAGGAGGATGATAGAGCTTTACACGCCCTTCTGTGGTGCAAACAGCCAATAAGCACCTGCATACAGTTGCATTTTATTGAGCAATTGCACAAAGTACAGATATGCAGTGCAGAAAACTAGGGAATCATGCAATGATATTTTTCATATTCTTACCCAGGGTTAGGAGCCATTCCAAGATGAGACCATGAAATCGATCGAACAGAACGAGGAGGATCCCGACTTAAAGTAGTCGGTAACAAACAGCCAGATGCTAGATCTGATGAGACACCAATTTAAATTGTATGTAAAGTAAATAGTCAAATGCAACAATGATTAAATTACCTCAACTCTTTGAGGCTTATAAAAACAATAAATTTGAGGCAATTGAAGCACACTGGTCAGAATTCTATAACGCACCTTCTCCTTTTACAACCACAATGGGGTAAGGTTCAGTCTTGGGAATACTGATCAGGCCTCGAGGTCCAAAGGGCAATGCAGGATTCTGATAAAAAGATGTAATTGACAAAAAAAATGGCCACAATCAGTTTTAGTTCTAAGCAAAAAAACTCAAAGTGTTTTACTTTTTTGTTTCTTTTCCTTCTTTAATTGTAGTTATCTCAACTAAACACAAAAATACAGCACCCACCCACACATTAAATTTTTTTAAAGCAATGTCATTGTAGCAATTTATATAGCGAGCAAAACTGAAACGTCGAGAACTTACGAGAATAGTAACGAGGTGACCGGATGCTACGGCAATCAGGTTCTCGTCGGACCAGGCGATGGAGTTAGGGTACGATGGTGAATCCACCAGTGTTATCGCCTGGAAACGCGAAGCCATTGCTGTGATCTGTTAACAGAACAAAAGAGACATGTTTGTTTTTATCTTCGGAAAAAAGTTGAAGTCTTGAAACAAGAAACACATTATGTTTTCTGAATAGCTGAGAAAACAAAAATTGTTGTTTTGGAGGGAAATCAGAACCTACTTTGAAAGTTTGGGCTTTTATAAAGAGAGAGTAATTGTGAAAACCCTAGTTCGAATTAGAAAATATAAAAGAAGTTGAGTTTTTTTAAATGAGCAAAAATAAATAAGAATTAGAATACGTTAAATACGGAGAACTATATTTAACAAAACAGAATACAGTTTTAAGCCTAATTTTGTGATCACTCAAAATATCTTAAACATTTTTCAAATATTAAATTATCAGATATATTTTTATTCTTTTGATAAATTTGGAATGGACACTTGATAGTTTCTATTCAAATATTATCAATCATTTGGCAATAAACACTCGTACTCTTAACATAGGTATTTTTCAAACCTAAAACCTCAAAAGATGACAACGAATCTCTTAAATTTAGGAGTGAGCATTCGATCAAGTCGAGTAAAAAAATTCGAGTTGACGAGTTGTATTTTACAATTCGAACTTAACTTGAAATTTTTTCAAGTCGAGTTATTCGAGTTTCTATACTAATTTTATTATAATTATTTATAATGAATTGATTAGAAGAAAGAATTTGCAAACAATTGTAGTCAAAAGATCAAATTGAGTGAAATGCACAATGCAAAGTTAAGGGACTAAATAAATAAGAGAGGGTACATTTATAGTAAGAAAAGTAAGAATTAAAATTACATAAGTATTCTATTGTGATATATGAGCATGTGGTTCAAATTTGGTAAAAAAATAGACTTAAAATAAAGGATGAATTCAAGAAATAAGTAAATTATGAAAAATTGAGACACTAAATTGAAAAATGGAAAATTTATTATAAAAAAGATAAATTGAAAGTACATATGTATTCTACGATGTCTTAGGAACATGTGGTTCAAATTTGATAAAAATAGACTTAAAATGAAGGAGGAATTGAAGGAATAATGAAATAATGGACTAAATTGTAAAATTGTTAAAATACTTAGTCACATTTTCAGTTTTTCGAGTAACTCAAAATTTTAAAATTTCAACTTGAATCAAACTCGAAAACCAAATTGATCATTCGAGTTGACTCGAATAACCCAACTCGAATAACTCAAATTAAAAAAAAATGATTTTTGAGTCGAGTTTTGCTCACCCATACCCTTAATCACTAATATCGCTTAGTTGGTGCCCACTCTAAAAAAATTCACCTTTTTTCTCTTCCAACACATATAGGACTCGAACTGAAGTTTTGCACTTGGACTCTACAACTAATTTTTTTGGACTTAATACGTGACCCTCATATTGGTATGAGTGACTTGATCCGATTTGAGGTGTCACATTAGGGCCACCGGAGCGACCCACGATAAAAATCCAGGAAAAAATAACATTTTTATTAAACTTTTAAAACAGTAAAACAACTTATACGTAGAATCATAAGTTCAAAAATCATTCCAATGTTAAAATAGAATTCAAATAATATACAAGCTCAAAACAAGTTTTAGACACTGATATAAAAAAAATGTGATTTACATTACCTTAATAACACTTGTATTGTACTCTGCCAGCAATGTCGAAGGAACTCCAATATTGATGTTTGTAACTACTTAGGATCGAATCTTTAACCTAAAAAGGTAAGTAACAGAGTGAACTTTGAGAAGCTCAATAATACAAAACTACCGAATGAATGCTATAGGACATGTGGATATGACAAGCATAACATTTCCTCAGTTATCCAAACCTATACAAGTCATAGACATGAGTTGAGGTTCCACTAATTTATTTTCTCAAGTGATAGACAGGAAACTTACAGTTTAGAAAGAAAATTTTCAAGAGAAACAGTTTCAGAAGATTGAGTTGGGAAGTCTAGTGTGTTCCAATAAAATTAGAAAATAAGTGTACATATAATTTAAAAACAGTAGTTGCCAATTTTAGTAAAACAGATTTTGAAAATCATAATAATACTCTCCAATCGAATACCGATATGCAGTTATCCAGAACTGCAACCATAAGGACTTACCCTAGGTCCATTGGGCGTGTGAGCCAACCTAAGGGAACACCTTGGGTCCATAAGAACTTATCCTAGCCGAAGAGTATAAGCCACCTGAGGGGAGTGCCCCAGGTCCATAAGGACTTACCCTAAGCACAAAGCAAATAAGCCACCCTAAGGGATTATCTTACGATCCATAAGGTCTTACCACTAGGCCTATTAGGCCTAGGAGCCCACCCAAAGGTCACCTAAGGTCCATAAGCATTTACTAGCTTGATCGAAGCTGAACATACATAACTCCATAATAGATCCCAGTTAGTACCCTATTATAAAACAGGTTAAACAATAAACAATGATATCTGAATCAAGAGCCAAATGTAACTAGTATCAGAAACCAGAGATTAGAAATCACGTTTTTTAATACTAAAATATCATATTCATACTTTTAAAATCAATGAAAATATTTGTGTATAAGGGACATACTAGAAGATTCAAATATCTTTTTAGAGACATACGATGATTATCAAGAAGGGAAACACGAACTTCTACAAGTTAATCAGATTTCATGAACAAAATTCCTACTAAAAGGATTCGATTATTAATGGATCTAATCAGACGTTCAGAAATTGACGTTTCAGGACCCATTTAGGATTTCGGGTGCATTAGAAAGGTATTTAGAAACCTTACATCAAAATTATTTAAGATTCAGATGTAACAGGAGTGATTTCATCATTCAGGCTATCAGTGACATTTTGGACATTTTATTTTCTGAAGAATTCTTAGAAATTTAATCCATTAATGGTAAGACGATGATTTATAGTATTAGGATTTATATCAAAATGTCAGAATTTCGAGTTAAATTGAACTAATAGATCTCAACATTGTGATATATGTCAATCATTTATATATGAGATACCTCACGATTATTCACTTCCTAATACTGACTGCATTAGTTGAACTGATCACCTTTAGAATCATCATTGATCGAATTTCTAGGAGATGAACATGTATTAAGATGGTATTCCTTCCTAGTATTGTAATAGTAACAGGGATGACCAATTTACTTAAGTTGTACTCTAAAATCCTTAGGGGCATTAAATATTTAAAGCTTCGCCGGTATTTGCATAACTTATCTACAGGCATTTCCTTAATCCTTGTCATAAGGGTATTTGGATCATTTCAGTACTCGGGATTATTCTAGTCATTTCAGAGCTCCAGAGTATTTTGGTCGTTTCAAACAATTCATTTTCATACAGTACTACCAATAAATTGGTCTTCAAATATTTATTCTAAAATCTTAATATATGAGTATGTAGGGATCTCGAAGATTAGGAATCAATTACCAAAATTTTCCAAATCTGTAGTTCTATCAAAATAAGAATGAATTCTTAAGTCATTTATACTATTAGAGGAGATCTAGTTTCTTTTTTCATTTCAAGGGTATTTTAGTCATTTCATCCAATTTTTGTCATATGCATTACTTCTAGTAAATTAGTCCTCAGGTGTTTATTCAAGAGTTATAATTATAAGTCATTTGCCATCTTAGATATCATAATTATTTATCAGGATTTTCTAGTCAAAACAAGCCTTTAACATATGAAATAGTAGTTTTATCAGGTTAAGTATAGCTTTTAAGGTTATTTCCAGTTTCAGGAACAATCCTTGTCATTTTACATTGTAAGATAATTTTTTAATTTCTTATCCAAGTATTAATTATTTTCGACATTTAACTTTTAACAAAAATAATCAGAATTTACTTATTTCTGACATTGTGATGTTAATTTCTTTATCACTTAATCACCAACCAGAATTTATTTCTTATTAGTCTTTTAGTTCCTTACACGAGTTAATCAAGTATCAACTAATTTACTATCATTTTTATCATATTCAGCTCTAGTTTCAGAATAATCATCGATAATCGCAAACCAATAATTTCCATTCATGCATTATCCAATATCAACATGTTACATAAAGCATGCAAAAGGTAGTAAAATATTACTCGATTTTTGAGCCATATCGGCGGTCATTTAAACTTCATTCAGTCACTCTTGGACTTTAATTCAACAGCCCATAATACCTTGAATACAAAGCAAAACGAATCATGTCAAAAACGGATTGAATTACATGATAAAACGTTGAAAAATAGCTTATCAAGTTCAAATTTGGAGAAACGGACTTTGAATTCGAACTCAGGACGTCAAAAATATAAAATAGGACTTTTCAGAAAAAGTTGACTTTTTAGTCAAAGTCAATGATCAACGCTAGTCAAAGGTCAAAGTTAATAGGTCTAGTTAAAGGTCCTAGGGGTCAATGGTTCAATCTTCCAGTTTGGCTAAACGGCCGATTCAACAGACCCGATTCATACATGTTTGGTCTTTCCAGACTGGTTCTATAAACATCAAGGTTGGAGGACAAGCCCCACGTGTGATGGTGACGCGTGGCGGCATGTGCGGTGACGACAGAGACAGTTGAGGTAGGTCGGTCACTAAGAAGATAACCAAACACATTAATTAATCCACAACAACTCGAAAATAAGCCCAAATCAACATAAAATGATCGGAAAATGTTCGAAAGGCATACCCAACATCAACAACGGAGGAAACGATAGTGATGAAGTGGCCCAATGGTTAGGTTTTGATCAGATAATGACGGGGAGTCCAAAGCTGGGGCGATGAGACCAATGGAGCTCAGGATTGACGTGAAATCGACGAAACCCGATGGAGAGCTTTAGTTTCTCGACAAATGTTTAACGGGATCTACGTGGCATACGGCGACGAGTCTTGACGGACAGTCACTATAGTTTTGATCTCGAGGTGGTGACGAGCACGTTGGTGTAGGCGATGCACGAAACCATCGAGCAATGGTCGGGATCGAAAGTGAATTTATCAAACGATCTCCCACAATTTTACGACGAAGACGGGATACTCGGGGTAAAAGGAGTTGGGGTTTACTAGCAAGGTGGGTAACGATGAGGGGCAGCGTTTTGGGTTTCCTAAAGCCTTTCTAATAAGTTTGGTTCACACGAGTAAAATGGTTTGAAACAGGACGAGAAGCTATGACATAAACTGATCTAAGTCAGAAACAAGAAATATTTTTAATAACAATC